GAATACAGGTAGGGAAAGCAGAGAAGGTGGAAGGGGGTATCGATGTTACCCTAGGGCAGCAGCGCAGGCGTCAGGGATTGAGGAGGGGCGCATTTCAGGTTGTTCCCGTGCCAGGGGTCCTTCTGTCGGGAGGCGTCAGCACCCAGTCACAGAAGGGCCGCTGGAGCTTCGACAACCTGCGACGCCCGTCTCCAATCCCCTCGCTCCCCCCGAAGATGAAAGTTGTATCAAATTGTATCCTTCCCTTCTATACCGACTCCAATTCTAATCTCTCTCTATACACTGTCTTTGTCAACCCATCAACTTGTCAGTTCTACTAATCGTTTCACGTAGTGCTTGACGTGTTCCTTGCAGTATCAGGCTTTGCCTGCCTTATCTGTTTTTCCCATGTCTGTACTATCCTAACTAATTTATTTCAACTATTTTTATTTCCGTCCGTAGTATATGTCTACTTCTCAACTGGTTTTATTCCCACATATTCCTTTATATCTCAGACGTTAGTTGTAGAATTCCTATCTGATTTCAAATGGTGGTTATCGAGCCACATCCGACCACCCTGCCTAATATGTTCCAACTACTTCTATTTCCATCCGCAGTATATGTCTACTTCTCAATTGGTTCTATTCCCGCCTATTTCTTTGTATCTCAGACCTTAGTTGTGAATTCCTATCCAATTTCGAGTGGTAATTATCCAGCCACATCCGGACGCCGTCACGTCTCCACTATCCTGTCACGTCTGCAGGGACCATCGCCAGACTCCTGGCTGGTCTTCTAAGGTCACAAGTTTCGTGTAGGGTTCCCACACTTGTCTCATGAATGGCCATGCCTTCGCTGATTTCCTGTTGATATCCGTCGTGATTGCTGATCTGAGGTTCGCGAGAGTCATCGATCGCAGCGCCGCAAAAGTAGGAGTCTTCTGGTGGAAAATTAGCGCCGCCCGCAACGCCCATACTGCTCCGAGGAAAGCCGCTCTTATGACTTCTATTGCGTATGCCCTGGGTGGTTTGATTGGGGTGGCGCACAGGTCTGGGCCTATAAGCAGGGAGGTCTCCATTTCTTGCAGAGTCATGGCAAGACGGTCTCCCCCAATCTCCTGCCTCCACCACTCCCAGAAGCCCTGTTGGGGTGGGCAGTGCAGCCAGACGTGCGGGACGTCTTCCGGGTCATTGTCGCAATGTGGGCATGCCGCTTCCGAAGTCGATGTCCTCTTTGCCAACCACTGTCTGGTGGGGAGCGCCAAGTGGATGTTTAAGCCACATCAGTCCCGCCAGTTTCTGATCCGGCAGCTCATGAAGCCGATGGTTCATCGCTTTCCACGCTCACGGAGTCCATCCCTTGTTCAGGTCGCCAGCCAGCCATGTCCGTTTGCGCCACAAGTATTTGAGCTCCTGGCTGATGGGGACAGCAGTCAGCAAGGAGCGGTAGATTTGTTTAGTGCTCAACACGTGCATCGGGAGTGGCCGACGTTGCGATCCTTGAGCCTTCCAGATCTAGCTCGAAGGATCAAATGGTAGCTGTGAAGGGCGGAGGCTGTCTCTTATACACATCTAGATGTGTATAAGAGACAGCTCACGGAGTCCATCCCTTGTTCAGGTCGCCAGCCAGCCATGTCCGTTTGCGCCACAAGTATTTGAGCTCCTGGCTGATGGGGACAGCAGTCAGCAAGGAGCGGTAGATTTGTTTAGTGCTCAACACGTGCATCGGGAGTGGCCGACGTTGCGATCCTTGAGCCTTCCAGATCTAGCTCGAAGGATCAAATGGTAGCTGTGAAGGGCGGAGGTTCGGCTGATATAATTTGTATACTGGCGGGGCGCCCCGCCTTTTCTCCGTCATTACCGTGACCGGTCTGGTGAGGTCTGGTGGCAGCCATCTGTCTCTGTTCTCGGCTCTCCTCAGCGGCTGGACTATCCGGTCCTCCGTGGGGGGGTTCTCCCACGTCTCCACCTTGAGCCACGCGTTGTCGGCTTGTCCACAGACTCTGAAGACAGTCTGAATCGGGCTGTCGTCCGCTTTATCACCCATCCGCCTGGAAGCGTTCTTCCTGCCTTGAGCGCGTTAATCCACTCTCGTGGGATGTCCTGTCGGATCGCCCGAAGGCGTTCGGGCTTCCTGGTTTGGTTATCTAGGCTCACCAAGATACAATCCTCGCTAATCAAATTTCTGGCCTCTGTATCCCACAAGTCCGCGATCCTGGCCACTCCCGCCCGAAGCCACGCTCTTCCGAACGCTCCTTTAGGACCGACCCAGGGAAAGGGATTCCCTTGATGGTTCCGTATACTTGGGTTGGCAAAAAGGGGCTGTTGCAAGATCTGGTCTGTCGATGTCGGCGGCTGGAGCTCCAGCGGGGCAAGGGTCCGCCATCGTGTCAAGGTCGGGGTCCAAATAGCACCCCGCTTGAGGCTTGTCAGAAGCTGTGGCTGCAACAAGGCTGTCTCCACATCCGCAGGGTGGAGTCGGAGAGCGTTCGCCATCGTCTGAACGGTCAGGATCTTCCACGGGGCGGTGTCGTCTTCGAGCAGCAGCCAGAGGATGGTCCTCAAATGAAAAGCCCCAATTTGCGTGGCCGGGTCGATGATGCCCAGACCTCCATCTCCGCGAGGCTGGATAAGCTTCTGCCACGAGACTCTGTGAATTGCATGGGACGCAAACGGGTCGTTGCGCCAGACGAACACACATATTGCGATCCTGTAGTCCCGATGGGGGACCAGGCCCGGGGAGGATACTGCCCCTGCGTACCATAATGTCGATGATGCAGTGGAGTTTGTTAACAGTGCTCTCCCGAAGACGCCCGTCATCAAAGTTTTGCCACAGACGGCAAGCCGCGCTGCCGCTTTGTTAATCAAGGTTTCACTCTAAGTTCCTTCCGTCAATGCGTCAGGCATGGTTATACCCAAGTACGTAGTGCTTTCAGCGATAGGTTGCACCTTCATCCCATTAAACAGCGGGGCAGCCGCCATGTTCGGGAGAAGCGCAACGGACTTGTGCTAGTTGACTCTTGCGCCCGCATACTTCTCAAAGGTCTCAATTTGAGTCTTTAGCGCTTGGACACTTGTTTGTTCAAGTATGGTAATGGCACCAGTGTCATCAGCGAATGCTGAGCTCTTCAGTTGTTTTCGTTGGGGAAGGGCTAATCCAACGAGCGCTTGATCCGCTCTCATCATGTCATGAAGATGCTCAATATACAGGATGTAGAGGGCCGGAGAGAGAGGGCATCCCTGGCGCACTGATCTCGTCACCTTGATTGGGTTCGTGAGGAAGCCGTTGATCAGCAGCCGGGATTGTGCATTTGTCAAAAGGGAGCGGACAGCAGCCAAAAAGCGCGGTCCCACTCCCCGTTGCCGCATGCCCTCCAATAAGAAAGGCCAAGAGACCCTGCCGTAGGCCTTTTCAAAGTCTAAGAGGACAAGAGCCACTTGCGGGCTTTGTTGCGACGCGTGCCATAGGACTTGGCGGACCAAGAGTACACTCGTATGTATATGCCTTCCGGAGACAAAGCCTGTCTGTGTATTGTGTATCATCTTCGGCAGGAGTGCAGCTAGTCGGTTGGCTAAGATCTTCGTGAGGAGCTTGTATGGGGCTGACAGGAGCGAAATAGGCCTCCAGTTTCGAATGTCCGCGGGCGAGCCCTTCTTGAATACTAAGATGACAATAGCCAATGCAAAGTCTTGCGGTAGCTGTGGGCATTGTCCCAAATCGAGTTATATGCTTCGACCAAGTGCGGGGCCAGCATGTCCTTACATGCCTTGATGTGTTCGAGGGGCATCCCATCCGGCCCAGGGGCTTTGCCCGCTGGCATGTCTGCCAGCGCTTCGAAGATTTTGTCTTGGGTAATAGGTCGTTCCAGCGTTTGAGACTGCTCCTGATCCAGCTTCGCTGTTATTTTTGCCCACACATCTCTTTCCAAGCCCTCTGCGCTGTCCTCCTGCGAGTCTTCTTGTTCTCGAGTCAACAGGTACGAATAGTACTTGTAAGCGTACTCCAGGATCGCCGGAGTTGTGTCTGCTGGCGGCTGCTGATCATCAAATGGCGGGTCTAGCACTAGCATGACTGAGGCCTGTCGCTTCGGGCGGAGTCGTTTGAAGAAAGTCTTAGTCGTCTGTTCAGCCGCTATCGTCCATCGAGCCTTACTTCGGAGTCCCGATACTTCCGCATCTTGGATCTGCCAGTCGTCCCTTTCTGCCTTCAGGGCCGCCCACTCCATCCACCATTCTTCCTCTTCTTCCTCTGACGTCGGGTCGTCCCCCAAGTCATTCGCATATTGAATAAAAGCTTCAACAGTTGCTCTTCATGCACGCTTCGAGCATAGCACCTCAGTTTGTAGCAGTTTGGCCATGGAGGCGGTGCCGGCCGTAAGCCACTGCAGCGCTGTCTGCTGTGAATGTCTGAGGGTAGTCCAATATTGCCAGTGCTGTAAG